CTCACTTACCACCCTAAGAGTGACATGGGCTGGGGCACTCTACCAACAGGACATACTCTGGCTGATGTCTTACATCATGGGGACGCAGAGGTGGATGGGAGGTGGAGTATCCCATGAGAACTTGACCAGGTCCCTCTTTCCTTTCAGATGTGGACGTTCTGGTTAATAATACTGGGGTGGAGGTTGTTTTTGTATTTTTTTACTGTCACAAATATCCTCCCAAAGATGCTACAAAACACAGCCTCTGCATTTAGTAAGTTAAAAGGCTGAGTGGGAATATATATGTGTACGGTATACATATATATATATAATATCTATAGTTTAGGCTTTTTGCAGTTAGGACACATATCTCACATTTCACCCCATAAAGATGAAAACAGATCTAAGTATATCATAATGGCTTTTTTTTTTTAAATGAATAATCCTTGGGGAACCTGGGTGGCTCAGTTGGTTAAGCATTAGACTTTGGCTCAGGTCATGATCTTGTGGTGTGTGAGTTCGAGCCCCGCGTCGGGCTCTGTGCTGACAGCTCAGAGCCTGGAGCCTGCTTCGGATCCTGTGTCTCCCTCCCTCTCTCGGCCCTTCCCCTGCTTATACTCTGTCTCTCTCTCAAAGATAAATAAACATTCAAACATTTAAATGAAAAAAAATTAATGCATAATTCTTGATTCTGTCTTTTCGATTTGAACTGAGCATCAAAATCATCTAGGGGTCCTCTTTCCAGGCATATGCTCAGTTATGCCAGGAAAGGTTAACTTGAGTCCCATAAATGGAATTTATAGACTCAGAGACTTCCCAATTCACAAAAAGGTCTATTCCCTAAAGGCTGAAAACCACTGAGCTATCCATAGATATCTAGATTGTGGGTCTCCTCTGCTCAGAGGCAGGGCTGGGATGAGGAATCAGGAAGGTATGGAGGATGGGTTGGTAATTTTTGACAACAAAGTGTGGCTATTTGGTACTGATAGGTCCACAGCTGACCTTCTTTACTCATCAGAAGTCACCTACTCGGCAGCCCAACTATTTCACACCAGGTTTATGGGTGGGAGAGAAAAATCTGAGATTGGGTCTGAATTTGTGCGAGACAGCGTCTTGCATGCTATGAGGGAGGAAGAAACTGGAAGGTTTAGAGTTTCACTGTCACGACATTTTGACTCCCCAGCACATCCCCAGAGAGGGCCCACTGGCCTTCTAGACATGAATCATGTGTCGGTCACAGCCAGGCCAGGACACAGGGGACATAGAAGCCCTCCTGTCTACGTCATTCATTTGGTAATAATGACTGACTTCTGTATGACGCTTCATATGTCAATGTCCTACGTTCGTATTGAGTGTTATTTTATTATTTCACCTCTGTGTGTATATACTAGCCTCAATCAGATTTAAGGGTGCTTGAAATCAAAACCCTTGTCAAACATTGATCGTGATGCTACACACATAGTTGGTACTTAATTATTTTTTTCAAATGAATAAATGGCAAGGCATTTAATAACTAAGAAGCCATATCTGGCACCTGCTCCAATTTAAAGAGCCAAGGTAAGGCCTGTCTCTTAAGAGCAGATGATTTTGAAACCTCTGTTAACACGAACGAAAGCTTTTCCGTTCTAAAATTCTGTGACCATGGATTGAGAGTTTTCTATGACCATCACATATCGATGCCATCCTTGATATTTCATAAAAGTGCTTGCACATGCGTTCTCAATAACTGGGTACTATTTTCAAATGTAGAGGGGCTCTGAGGGGGGTTCTCTGATCTATTTCAACTCTCCTTAGGGGCAACCTGAACAATGTAGGTTGGTTTCCAGAGAAATAAGTTCCCTAGCTCTCTTCAGGTTAGGATCTGATGGTTTCCTCAGTTACTGAGTCGTCTTCCTGCTATTTAAATCTGTCTGCTCTGGTTCTATCTTTAGTAGTCATTTAGATAAGACCCAGGGAGGTAGTGTTTTCCCCAGTGAAACCCGGAGGAATACTTTGCTGATCTTCCCTTTCTTTCATGAAGACTGGAGAACCACTCAGCAGTGAGTCAGGTTGATCTACTTGAGTTCCTAGGGCACCAGCAAATGGCAGCCTGGCAATGGTGAATGCAAATATCTCATGTTACTATTTGGTTTGACTAAAAAACAAGGGTACAAAAATGTCCATGAGAGATGACAGTCAACTCTGAATGACTCTTCTTCAATGATACACCTCCAAGGAGCTAGAAGGGTCAGGCTGGTAGGGTTTCAAAGACCTGATGAATCATGAAGGTTTTATAACCACACTGTGTCAAAGGAGAGAGTGGTATTTCTTAATATGACAAATACTACTCATAAAGCCCAGGGCAACATCACAAATGGCAACAGGGGAAATATTTCAGGGCTAAGGCTAGAATCACAAACATGAGGACTGTTGTGAAATGAGAGAATCTTTAAGGAAAGCTTGTGACTGGCTATGGACAACAATAATCCTTATCTTGTGGAAGAGAAGAGGGGGTGATTCCCTTCAGAACAAGGCCGGCCCCATATGGAGACGACTGGTACCAAATGTCTAGCCTAACCTCTCATTATCACCCTGGCTGCCACAGTGGTGGTTTCCAGGTATTCACTCCTCTGGATTGTCATGGAAGGACACTGTTAGAATTTAGAAAGAGTCAACAAGTTGACCCAGTGATAGCCATTTTCATATTCATTCCTACTGGTATTTAAGAAATTAGTAGCGAGCATTCCTCAAGGCAATAGACTAGGAGAATTTAATAATTAGGACAGAAACTAGAGACAGTAAGGGACACAGTCTGGGAAAGAGGGATGAGATGCAGTCTTGAAGACACTGGATTTGGAGCAGAACAAAAGGAAGCATGACACTTTGAAGGTGACCGCATCAGGGACACCCACTGTTGGTTCTGCGATGCCGACATTTTTCCATCAAGGCTCTGTTGGGAGTTTCTCCAATTAAACGAACAGAAACACAGGAGAGTCTGTGTCTGACCCAAGACAGCTTGCCTCCCCCTCTCCTCTCTTTGTCACCTGTGTCACTCCTCTGTTGACTCTAGTCCTTTCTCTCTAAGGGATTCAAGTTACTTAATTGACCAGAGGCCACATAGAAGGGTCAACAGAAACCCCTAGATTGTGAAAGCACAAAAATATCTTAAGACCTCTGTTGTACAATATCTGCCTTGCTAATTAGTTTGTGGATATGATGCACATTATCCAACTATCTGCTTCCAAAATTATCAAAAATCCATATGGCTGCTTAGCAAGGTCACAAATGCCAGGCATCACCATTACAACTATTTGGAAGAAGTCCAACTTGACTTCTATGTGGAAAATGGAACCTGCGAGAGGTAGGGAAGCCTGTAATCGTTGTAGGAAAACTTCTACATGAACTCACAAAGCCAGGAAAAAGGTGTTTGACATATGTGTTTGGCTCCAAATAAGAGATATTTCCTAGACTCTGCCTTTATATTTTAATAACATCTAGCTCAGTCACTTGTCCCCAATCACTTCATTTTCTTAAGTCATATTTTGGCTTATGAGCATACAGATGGGGATTCTGGACTTTTTTTTTTTTTTTTAAGTGAGAATTCTCACTTTGCTATGTTAATCAAGCTGAGTGACATCTTTTTGATTGCCTGGTGAATTAGGAAACCCGATCGAGCCACAAATTTTGCACTTATTGTACTAAAAAGCAACAGTGAATTAGCCTTGGATTTAAACCCAGCTGTCCCATTTTTGAGCTTGGTAGCCCCACGCAAATCACTTAACCTCTCTGAGCTTCTTCTTCTTTTTTTTTTTTTTTTTTTTTTTTTTTTTTTTTTTTGTGCAAAAAATCAGGATTACAGTTGTCATCTAAAGAAGGTTGTGTGAATTAAATGAACTCATATTTGAGGAACAAGCTTAGCACAGTGTATCGTGCCATTAAAAAGCAGAAATATTCCCTACATGGGTATCTGAGATTAATGCTGATGGGAAATTGGGAAGGTGAGGACTGGTCTCACCAAAAGAAGGTGGTGGAGGGATCCCCGAGAGGTGGGACTCATTTAATGTGTTGTTTTTGTCCCGAACTCGAAGTTAGATCAGAACTTGCGTATCTTTGTCAATTAATCATCAGTATCTCACTGAGTACATAGTAAAGGTGAAAGAATATATTTTTCCAGGGGTAGGGCACACAGAGGGGCAGAGTTAATGCAATGAGTTGCTTTTCCAAATTGGTAATCATCTGAGCTTTAAGACAATGTAAGGATTAGGAGCAGAAGAAAGTTTGTGAGCTTGAAGAGCTTTCATGTGATGTTGCCTCCTTCGTAAATATTGAGAGCTGAGCTAGGACTTTGAATGATTAGCGCATGCATGCAATGCCAGTGACTCAGACCTCCCCTTTCATCCAAGACCTAAACAGCCGTGTGCCAGGACCACTTGTCCAGCTCACTGTCACTGGCGTTCAGATACCAGTGACCTGAATATCTCAGAACAGGTTCTGTTTACTATCCAGCCCCTCAAAAATAAACACGCGAATAAAAAACGAAATGGGAACATATCCACAGAAATGTGTTAATGATAATTCCAGTTGCCATGTATAGCCCTATCAAGTATTAGCTAAGAAGCTAAGCTGTGTGAGCTGCTCCTTGGATGCTGGGGTGGATTTTTTTTTAAAGGTTGCTTGACTTCTTTCCTAGATCAGGTTTTCATTACATGCCATTTGCTGAAGTCACCTCTCTTTCAGGACTGCAGCCGCCAAGAGGTTGCCCGTCCTCATGGCTGGGTGTCTTTTCAATGACTTCAGAAGTAACTTGGCAAAAAGGGTTGCCTCGACATCCCCTCCGCTCGCGGTGGGTCCAATTACAGCAGCCATGTTTGTTCATTTTGTATCCTTACTGTGCTCTTGAAATAAATAGTGATGGGATGGAGAGTGAGAAGTGAACAGGATGCTGGGGGCTGAGAAGTTTGGAAACATAAATAAGGCACTGTGGAGTTCTTAGTACAGAGGCTGTTGCCTTTCCAAAGTCACTGAATTTCCCCCTCACTCACCATTGCATGATTCAACCATTCTGGAAAGATATCATCTAGGGCCTTCGGGTAAACGAGCTCTCGATCGTAGAGAAAGAGGATCCAGAACGACAAAAATACAAACTGGAAAATAGAACACAAAAATAGCATCATTAAATTTTTTTGTCAGTCGGAGCTAAGTTAACCAAGGAAACATGGCGAAATAAGAATAGACACCAGTTTTAAAGATATCCTCCAGACACATTATAGAAATGTAAAATGAAGACAAAATTCCTCACTGTTGAATTGCTAGGTCCACTCTGGGGATTCCAGAGAGCTGGGGATTAATTATTTGTCATCGTAGCAGACAGGGTGGATATAGATAAACAGGATTCACCGACTCTTAAGTCATTTTATTTTATTTTCATTTTTTAAAAAATTTTTTTTGGGGGCGCCTGGGTGGCGCAGTCGGTTGAGCGTCCGACTTCAGCCAGGTCACGATCTCACGGTCCGTGAGTTCGAGCCCCGCGTCAGGCTCTGGGCTGATGGCTCAGAGCCTGGAGCCTGTTTCCGATTCTGTGTCTCCCTCTCTCTCTGCCCCTCCCCCGTTCATGCTCTGTCTCTCTCTGTCCCAAAAATAAATAAACGTTGAAAAAAAAATTTTTTTTTAATGTTTATATTTGAGAGACTGAGACAGAGCATGAGCGGGGAGGGGCCGAGAGAGAGAGGGAGACGCAGAATCCGAAGCAGGCTCCAGGCTCCGAGCTGTCAGCACAGAGCCCGTCCCGGGGGTCAAACTCACGATCTGTGAGATCATGACCTGAGCCAGGTCAGACACCCAACTGACCGAGCCACCCAGGTGCCCCAAGTCATTTTATTTTAACCAATGACCTCTCTTGTCTAAGCTTTCATCAGAAATACTGAGAGCAGCCACACGGGGTGGTTTGAGTCTTACAGTTTCCTTACCCATCTAAGTTTGAAGGCTCAATGCTAGAGGATTCAGGACAAGGATAGGTGGAAAGAGGCAGCCATTTCCAAGCACAGATTCTGCTGGGCGGCCGACGGGCTTGATCCCAGTTCATTCCCATTCTGCCCGATGAATGGAAACAGGAGCCACGTCATCGAAACATGGACCATATCAGCAGATACGCTCACTGTCACTGGCATATGTTGTACTTCTTTCCAGGGTCCATTCATTCAACAAAATGAATGAGGCTCTCACTGTGCACCCCACACGAGATATTTTGGACAGACTGTCTCGCTCTCTCCCCAATTGTCTTTTCCACGTACCAACTCTGAAGTTCTCATACCCTTTTTTTTTTTTTTTTTATGGTTTCCACTTGCAGAAGTAACATATGCTCATTGTAGCAAGTGAAACAAGATGTATAAAAGGAAAAATGAGTCATCTGTCTCCCCAGCACCCTGCATTCCCGGTACTCCCATGGAACCAAGGTTATCTTAGCTGTCGTTTGATGAAGAAAGATCCTTCAAGCTTCCCCATTAGACATCAACAAGGATCTTGTATCGAACGTTCACCAAGATAAGAAGGCAGTGTTAACTCCAGTCCGTAATGAGCCCTATTTCCGGGTGCCAGTGGGCAACACGGTACAGTCCTCAGGCAAGACATTCATGCAAACTCAGTTGCTCTGGTTTGCAATAAGGGGCCCTGAACAGCCTCGCTGCCCGGGGGGGTGTGTTGTTCCTGCGAATCTACCTGGGTATTATATTACTAACACACCTTCGTCACTTACTGTGGATATTGGAAAAGCCAGCGTGGTAAAAAGCAGGTCTCTGAAGGCGGTCACGAACTTAAGGTCTCTTTCCCCTTTAATTCTTTTCAGCACATCTTCCACGCAGGCGACCCCGTAGAAAATGGCCTGCAAGAGCTAAATTCATTACAACAAATGAGGGCATTTTCATTTGCTTTAATTAATACATTCTTCACCGACGTAAAGCTCCGTCCCTCTGGGAGCAATGTTGATTTGAGGAGGTGGGGGGGGGGGGGGGGTGCTGTTGGCTGTTTTGGTTGAGAGCCAATTCAAGGGCTGGTCTTCCAGCTCAGTGGGCCCTGACCTTGCTTGCTAAAACTGATTGAGTAAAGTCGTTTAGGGGATAATAATGTGTACAGTATTTAGTGTAATGGACTTGAGCTAAAATGGAAACAAAATAGTCAGCTTAAAAGGAGAATGTAATGAGATAGATACCTTAGCTGCACAGAGGTGGGCAAAACCAAATAAACAACATGAGGGCAAAGAGCCAGACGCAATGGTGGGCATATTCTGGCCTCTTCCAGAAGGAACCAAAAAATGTTTAAATGCCTAGTGCTACAATCGCATTAAAGAAGCCAGAATCAGGGTCAAGAGCACCACAAAGCAGCTCTGTGCTCTTATGAGGGAGAAGCACAAAATGGCATCTTGCTTATCTGAGGGAGAAGTTGATGTCCTTCTCTGATTGCAAGGGGGTGCGCGAAGGCCTTACAAAGAAAATCTGGCTAAGGCAGTGACTTAAATCCACAGGGATAGAGCAACCCAGGGGCTCTGCTGTGTCACTAAATACCACGAGGTCCCTGAGGCCAGACATAAGAGAAGGACAGCCTTCTTCAGAGAAGTAAAACCAAATCAAGGGCAAACTTTGCCCATTCTTACCACTTCGCACAAACCCACGGCTCCTGATTTAAGACCTCATGGGTCACACTACAGAGTTGGGGTTGGTTTTGAGTTGTGCTTGCGTTAGACCCCATCCTACTCCTTAAAAGTTCTGGGCTGGTACAAAAGGGGCCATCTGGACTCCTCTCTGAGAGCATGAGTCAGGCAAGTTCTGGACCCCAGGGCATTGTACTCAGGAGGGATCAATCAGCCGTCAGGGAATGACCTCTGAGGTCTGAACTCGAGGAGAGTTCTAGCAGAGTTGGCCTCCTACCAGTCTTTAGCGTGAAGAAGCAGGTGGGAGAGGATACAGAGGTGAATTAGGCCAGCAATATGCATAGCTGGGTCCGCAGACCAGCAGCACTGGTGTTACCCCAAAACTCATGAGAAATGCAGACCTCAGCCCCACCCCAGACTACGCAGTCAGAATCTCTGGGAGTGAGGTCCAGGAACTCGTTAGCAAACTCTCCAGGAAGTTCTGGAGACACTCACTGGGTTAGACATAAATTTATCACTCACAAATCCTACTGACTCCTCAAAGCTAATAGATGACTTTCACTGATGTTATGTGCCCGGCACTGATCTAGGCTCTTACTTTCTCGTAACAATCTTATGAGGTAAGTCCTATTATTATGCTCTCTCCCGACCCATTTTACAGATGAGGAAACTGAGGCATAGAGGCATGAACACACTTGCCTAAAGTCTCATGGTGGATACATGGGGATTTGAAACCCACAGTCTGGTTCTTGAGTCAGACTTTATTTATTTTTAATTTAATTTAATTTTTTTTAATATGAAATTTGTTGTCAGATTGGTTTCCGTACAAGAGTCAGACTTTAAAAAACAGAGGTTTCTAAGAACAGTTCAGGTAAAGCACCGTGAGAGGTCAGAAGAAAGAAAGCTATCTCCAGGTGGAAGAATGAAAAATGACTTTGAAAAATACTGATGCCTGTTTGCCACCCGTTCCCTCAGAGATTCTAATTTTCTGGGGGTGTGGCCTAGGCATCAGGATTTTTAAAAAATCTCCCAAGTGCTTCTAATTAGGACAGATAAGGTTGAGAACCACTTGCCTAGAGGAACTTCCATTTGGACATTTGGATCTGGCCTTCCCAAGAGAGGCGGGATGCAATGGACAAAGAGAGAGAGAGGGAGAGAGAGATGGAAAGCAAATGCTGGGGCAATGCCTTCGTCTAAAGGGCACAGGGCCAAGAGGGTCAGCAAAGCATCAAAGAATGATCTGATGGTACAAGACAGAACAGACAGGAGCCCCAGAAGGGAGGAGGAAGCTTTGAGCCAGAAGGGTGGTTCCAGGGAGGGGTGGGAAGCAAGCGTTAAATGTCATAAACCCGCGGCCACCCCAATACTCGTGATCTACTTTTGACACTCAGCCCTCAGGCTGTAGAATCTGGAGTACATGGATGTTAGAGGAAGTCGCCTCCTCCACCCTTTCCCACTCCCACCCGTCCAGCAGCCCTCACCTCACCCCTGGTTTCACTTCCAGCTGTTTGGGCCGCAGCAGGCAGCTGCTTTAGTAAGGAAGGACAGGCATGGGGCCGGGGCCCTGGCGAGGAGGCCCACACTCTTCTATCAACATAGCAATTAATCACGTCCTGAGCTCGGAGAGTCTGCCAGGGTTTCTCTCTTTGGGGAGAGGCCGCCTCCGCCCAGCATGTGAGGTCCATGTGACCGCTTTCCTTAGCAAGAGCTTTCTAGAGTCCCCATGAGTCAAGCTGGTCCTAACTCTCTCTTGCTTTTCCCAGTCAAAAATGTCGAAATTGGACTGGGGAAAAGAACACATTACTCAGAGGCTCCCTGGCTTCTCCTTCACCAATAAAACTTTTCTCCGTGCCACAAACTGGCCAATCGCTTCTCCACCTCTACCCCCCAGCTCCCGTATATACGCCACGCTGTGAAGATGCCAGCTGGGTGCGTAGAGCAGCCTTGTCCCCGCCGATCTTCATCTTGCATTGGCATGCCATCATCTGTATCAACAAGGAATATTTGTGGAGCCCTCACAAAGGAGCTCGGGAGGGAGGCGCTAGGATGTTGCCAAGAGAAATACGTAAGCCAGAACTAGGGCGGAGAGGAGCCACACAGCTGAGCTGGAGGGCAGGGAGAGGGAGGCGCCATAAGCTCATTCAATGGGTCGGCTCCTTGGAGGGCCACAGAACAGGTCTCGATCAGCTCACCCAATGGGACAAGGGTCTGCTCAGTCCCTAAGGACAATACAGTGAAATGGTTATCAAACAAGCACAGCAAGAACAGTCAAGGGCGACAGTGGTAGTTATTAGGGACTGAATGATGCCCCCCCCCCAATTCACATTGAAGTTATAACCCCCAGTGCCTCTGAAAGTGGCTTTACAGAAGTAAGTGAGCTAAAATGAGGTCGGTAAGGGTGAGTCCTGATCCAATAAGACTGGTGACACCCAATGGTGTCTTTACAAGGGGAGTTCTAGGACACAGACAACAGGCAGAGTGAGGCATGACCGAGTGAGACACGGGGAGCACGTCAGCATGCTGAGGAAGGGGCCTCAGGAAAAACCAACACTGCTGATACAATCATCTTGGACTTTTAGCCTCTGGAACTGTGAGAAAATAAATTTCTGTTGTCTGAGCCACCCGTCCATCATACTTCGTTATGGTGGCCGGAGCAGACCAACACGGGAGCATTAAAACAAGGTAGCAACAACGGGCCCTGTTAAGACTCTTACAACAAAATTACTGTCACTTACATTTCTTTTCTTTTTTTTAATGTTTTTTAAAGTTTATTTTTGAGAGGCACAGAGAGCAAGCGAGGGAGGGGCAGAGAGAGAGGGAGACACAGAATCGGAAGCCGGCTCCAGGCTCCGAGCTGTCAGCACAGAGCCCGACGCGGGGCTCGAACTCACGTACCACGAGATCACGACCTGAGCCCAAGTCCGACACTCAGCCGACTGAGCGACCCAGGCGCCCCACTGTCATTTACATTTCTCAACTATTTGGCCACCAGGAAGGCACAGCTAATGGTATCTTCTTGGCCAGCATTTGCCTGAGAGCTACTGCCCTGTGATTTATCTTTTCGACCAGGTCTGCTCTAAGTCTCATTGGTCTTTGTGCCTTTTATTCTGAAATGTTGCTGGTCTAAGTTTGTTAGCTGGCTTCCACTTTTTTTTTTTTGTTGCTAGCTAACAAATTTACCACCTGGGAAGGCTGAATTACATTTTTTATAACTAGGGCAATTTAAGAAACCATAGCTAAAGGAAATTTCGTTTTTATATTCATGTGTCTTCGCAAGATTCACAAAAATCTTGAAATTATGGAAACTTAGCCTTTCTAAGTCATTAAGTTCATTTCTTTGCCTTTAAGCCAGAACTGTCTTCAACTGTCTCAGGAAATGAGAATTTCTTCTATGTAAGAAATAACTCCAGAGAGGGAGATTCCACAAGTTTTTCTGAACAAGGCATTACAACTCTCATTGGATGAGTCGTCATCCAACGCCCAGCCCAGCTCTGTGCCTGACTTGAACAGGCTGGACCTTTCTTAGGTCTTGCCTTCCAAATGAGGCAAGGTTTACAGTGGGAGACTATTCCAGAATAAAACAGCAAATGGGGACTAACGGTGGTGAGTATTTTCTATAATTGCAGTGATGAGAGTAGTGGCGTTTGGGGGCAGGTAGAAGAAACCTTTGCTAAAATCTAGCTGCAGAATATGCAATATACTGTTTCAAGCCTCATTCGGGTGCAGTTAGCTTCAGTAAAACACTGAGATAAGAGAATGAGATAGAAAACATAGGAGAAATGGAGAATATAGGCTGGCAACAAGTGGAGGAGAACGAGAGAAGAAACCAAGAACACTGGCGGGGGATTGGAAGAAGAATTCTAAGAAGGCTCAGCCAGTGTTGTGTGCTGATGATAACTGGCTTCGAGAAACAGCAGGATGGGGGTGGGGAGACGACCCTACAGGTGGGATGGGGGGGCCCGAGAGACCAGGGTTTAACTCTTCCCAGTTAGGCCCATGCTCTGGTCATTTATTCATGCCACCAACATTCACAGAGTGGAGGTGCCACAACCTGTATTAGATACAGTACAGGCCAGGGCAGGCCCTGTGCTAATGTGTCTTTATTAGGACGAAGAAGAGAGGAGAAGCAGGAGGAGGCATCTTTCCTGTACATTTACTCTTTTGTGTTATGTAGGTCAGGTTCCCTGGGAAAGGATCAGATGCTTAGATCTGCCTGCAGAGTGTTCATTGAGGGGTACCCCCCG